TGTGTGACAGTGTGCTGTCCCTTCTCGCTCTCTTTCATGAAGTCATTCCTGAAAGAGAGTGCCCACTCTCCATCACAGCATTTGCCATTCCCCCAGGGATTTCCTGTGGCTAACCAGAGAAAGAACGGGCTTTGGGGTTGTGTGCTGACTCCAACTTGACCTTGCTATGTTCTGTGTGACTCTGGGCAAGTTATTCCACCTCTCTGAAATTCATATACAAAATGTGTGCCTCCCCTGGTTGCCACGAAGATTAAATGTGGTGCAAAGCAAAAATATGAGTTCCATATCTTTAGACACCTGGAGTTTTCATTCCCTATGCTTTATTCACACTTGGAATATATTTAGCCTTACATGATGCTTGGATAGCATTTTATTCATTGGTCCTCTTTCTCAAGTGCATTGTAAGTATGTCAAAGGCAAGACTAGGTGCAGAAATCTTTCAGCATTCATTGTGGTGCTGGGCACATGGCAAATTCCCAAAAAGTGAGTTTTGATTTAGCACACTCTTATCAACCTTTGACCAGCTTATTAATGATTATGAAATTCTAATGGGATGTAAAAAAAGGGAGTTGACCAGCCATAAATAAATGGCTTTATAGATTATGGTACATTCCATTAGTGGATCATTATATGGAAATTAAAATCATGTTTTTAAAGAATACTTAACAAAGTGGCTTGATACATTACAGGCAATAGGCAGGATATGTAATTGTCTTGTCTGTATATTACCAACACTGTAACGTACATGAGCCAAGAGGAAATATGGGGGGATATGTATCAGAATATTAGCAATGGTTATACCAGGGTAGTGAAATTTATTTTCTTCTTGTTCCTGTTTGTGGAAATGACCCATGATCAGCATGCATTATTTAAAAATCAAGGGAAAAAGCCTAGTGATTGTTCTTTTTTTTATGGAAGATAGGAAGGTATACAAAATGAATATCCCAAGCATGCTGCCAACTCTGCTTTAAGGAAATTGAGATTTCGTTGGCCTTGTTCCCATTGCATTCAACCCCATGTGGGTTGAATACCAGTGTGGGTTGTGTTAAATGTTCACCTCACGGGTAATGAGAAATGGAGAGAGAAAGAATTTCTGCAGGGATTGGGCCAGTTATTGAGAAACCCTTTGTTCGATGCCCCTGAGATTTCATGGTCCTAGAAGGGGTCTTCCTGCTTCATTCCATTACCAGGTAGGAGGTAGGTCTTGATCTCCGAAATACTCTGGGACAGCCTCCGATGATACACAGTGAATGGCAGAAAGGTGGATGCCAAGACCCTCCTGCAGGTCAGAGAACACCTCTGAACACCCGACCTGCAGACTCTGCACCTGGCAGTGAGTCTCAGAAAGTGGTTCAAGGTCGAGGTGACATGATGTCATCATTTGTGGGCTCTGTGACCTTGGGTAAACTGTTCAACTGCTCTGAGTCCCATCTGTAATGCCGGGGATGGGGATGGTAACCTTACCTTGACCACTGGGATATTGCAAACAGTCGGTGTGATCAAGCTCACCACATTCCTAACCTTGCCCACAGATAGTAACCACTATTATGACTCCTATTATACCCGCAGGGTTTGGTAAAAGGAGCACAGACTTTGGCCCTGAGGACCAGGTTCAAAGCCCATCTCACCACTTATTAGCTATGTGACAAGTTGTGGCAATGAACTTGCTTGAGCCTCGGTCTTCACATCTGGAAAATGGGGCTCATAATTCCCACTTCCAAATGCAGTTTTACGGAGAGAGAGCAACTGTATAATGGACACAGTCGCGGGCAGAAGACAGACAAGTCAAGTGGTGAAATGGGTTGAATATGACAAGCTGGGGAACATCTGAGCAGGGAGCCGTGACTCTGTGCCAGCCGACGGCCACCATGCAAGGACTTAGAAATGTGATTTGTTTCTAAGACAAGAAAGAAATTTTGAAGTTTTCACAGGAAATGTATCAGTTTTTAAATGTTGGCCAACCATCAGAAATTTTGCAGCCAATGCCTCGTAGGTCACCATGATAGGGTGGGGCGCCAGGGGTTTGTATTTCTCACCCACCGATGTGGGGCTTGTCCTTGTGACTTGCTTTGGCCAATGCACACACCAGGAGCAGATGTGCACATGTGACTTGGCCTCTCATCGCCACTTCTCCCAGAATCTTCCAGGAGGAGAGCATGTCCTGGAGAACCACTGTCCCAGGAAGAGACCCAAGGGTTAGCCCTGAACCATAGTTGCCCCAGGTGACCTACAGTCCCATGAGTAAGAAAAAAAAATGTTTGTTGCCATAGTCGGCTGGGATTTCAAATGTGACAAAGTCAAACCCGACTCATGCACCGCCCTTGGGTCCCCAGTTTGAGCCCGCCCAGGCAAAGCACCCTGCAAGGGACCGACACGTAGTGTTCACTTCATAAGCGGTGGCCCTGGGATTATTCTGGGCCTGAAACACCTCCTGGGGCTTCTCTAATCGTGGTCAGGCTTAGCCCAAAGCCTGGTAAAGTGTTTGTTTAGAGCTGATTTGTTCTTCGAGAAACCTGAATACATCCATCTCGACATGCATCACTCACCTTATTATTTACCTACGGAGATAAATGTCACCCTGCATTGGGCCATGGCATTACAGACTGCTTGAAGTGTAACAGGACAATGAGTGGTAAACAGTGGCTTTATGATTTCTTATTGGGGCGTTTTCACGCTATTCTACCAACATGTCTGTAGAGTTGAGATATAGAGGATTCAGTGGAAATGATTGCACTGCTCAGACTGAGAAAAGTCTAGTGGGCAGTGAGGGGCATTCAACAATAGCTGGCAAGGACAGTGCTAAGGCAGAAGCAAGAGCAAAGTGCCCGTGGGCCCTAGAGAGTAGGCTGAGCCAGGGAGGCACCTCAGGGGATGTGAGAAGGGAGGAGGGCTTTTAGACAATGATCTTCAGTTATGTAAGAAGGTGGGGTCAGCGTTCCAAGAGGGGAAAACACATGCAAAGACACATGGGACATGAGCACTTGGTGTGTTCAGAAAATTGGGAGGAGTCCAGGTAGGTGGAGAAACGGTCCAAGGGGCAACAAGTGTAGGTAGGTGAGGACCAGGTTGTGGGCTGTGTTGGACTTTGTAGATGGTTGTTTCTAAAGACGGCCACCATCAATTCCTCCCCACTGTAGGCACATGCCACTTGTCACCAGAGGAGGGAGCCTATGCCTCTCAGCCTTGAATGTGAGCTGCTTTGATGGTAGTGCAGAGATGCGGAAGATGCTGCTTCAGTTCTAGGCACTGGCAACTTACCTTTCTCCTCTCCAGGGATGCTGGCTCCTGGAACAGCCCTCCCAGAACCCACCCCTCACTCAGCGAGGACCCCATGGAGAAGCTAGGGGAAGGCACTGTGCTCAGTCACCCCCACTAAGCACCTACCCCACAGCCAGTGATGTGAGTGCACCACCATCTGAGATGTTCAGCCCAGTCAGGCCTCTGACAACTCCAGCCCCAGCCAGCACCTGAGCCCCTGAGAGCAGACCATCTGGCAGAGGCCAGGGAGCTCTCAGAAAGGTAACTTATTGATAATGAATCATCCACCCAAGTCCCTAAATTTGGGGTGGAATTGCTGTGCAAGAATTGGTAACCAGAATAGGCGTCAAACAAATTGTCCTTGGCATCATCTATAATGACTGCATATTGGTGACTTTAAAGGATCGATAAAAGAAAACCTAAAACAGTGAGGTAGGGTTGGGGATGAACTGGAAGTTCTCTTCACAGTGGGGAATCAAGATGCAGCTGTTACCCTATATTTCCTTTGGCTCTGTTGCTATGCTACTGCACAATTTCCCTTAAAATGTTACTAGTCTAAGGAAGCAGTGTGATGTTCTAGAAAGAACCCAGGTCTTGTCAAGGGAGCTCCATTACAACCCCACTGTGTCACCCATGAGCCATGAGACAGGGCAAGTCACTTGCTGAGGTAGCCCGTGTCCTGCCCAGCTGTCCTCTCAGAGACCAGCACTCCCACTCCAAGACGCTGTGACTGCTGCCTTCTCGGTGGCCTCCTCACTGCAGAAATGCCCGTGGGCAATGGCAGGAACATTGCTCTGAAGGTTGCAATCCCCTGCTCACCAGGGGAGGGCCTCAGCCAAGGACTGACTGGCACGGGCTCACAAGTCTGGTGGTGAGCTCAGGGCGGGATAACTGCAGTGAAGTCTGTGCTTTGAGCCCTGTGCCCGTGGACCAGGCCCAGGCAGTGGACTAGCTGAGTCCACAGTTTTCCTAGGCTCCTTCCTCTTCTTTTTTCTGCTCCCTTCATTCCCTTAGAGGTTTTATATTTTTCTCCGAAGATAGCACCCTCAGTAAACCTTGTGTCTTGGAATCGTGGTCTCAGGCCCTGCTTGTGGAAATCCCAGCCTAAGACATGGGTCCTCCCTTCACTTCTCTTTTTCAAACCCTCCTTTCCAGAATTTGCTGAGATGACAAATTAAAACTACTTGGCACTTAACATACCCTCAATACATGCTAACAGGTTTCCTCTCTCATCTCCCGTATTGGTACAAAGTACAAGAATAGGAAGAAAGTTCTTGAAACAAAGAAGTCCTCCAGTAAATTTTCCATGTTTTCTGCAGAGCAAATCTTTTAGAAAAATAGACAAGCGAGGCATCGATTTTGTAAGAAATGGGGATATTAATGCCTACTTAGTGGAGTTGTGAGGATTTGCTGAAACAGAGTTGTTCGGTGCCGAGTAAGTACTCCGTGTGTGGAAGCCTCTGCCCTCCCACCCAGCCGCCTGCAGGGGCTCAGGCCAGTCCTTCCTTTGTCCTTGTCATGTCCTTGGCCAGCACAGTGCCCTACACAGAGAAGGCACCTCTGTGTCTGCCCAAGTACAGTTTAGTGTGCGGGCAGAAGAGCCACACTTCATCAAAGAGGGCACAGGATTTGTAATTCCACCCTATCTGGAGTTTGGGTGATGAACGTAAGCTGGATACGTCTCTTAATGGCGGGCAGATCCCACTGCCTGTGCTCAGAAACAGCCGGACTCACTGTTTGGGTCGTTAACACAGTTTATTATCGGCACACTTATCAGTAAAGCATACATAAAATACAGCTGTTTTATAACACACGGAGCCACTGCGTCTTTACATGTGTGGAGGAACATATTAATATGCAAATGGAAAAATTAGTTCTCTTATAAAGTTTCACATAAATACACCAGTATTGCCCACAAAGAAAAAAGTCCCCATAAAAGAACCAGGCGAGGGCTTTACAAAATATTATACAAGAAATATATGATGAAAAGAAACAACGGTCAACTCAGATACAATAAAAAACACAAAAGAGTTCCAGATTTATTAAACTGCCCACCAAAGTAATGGATTACATGGCTTGAAAATATTTGGATCAACAGCAATTTTACCAATGCATAAATTCTCAAGGGGCCAAGTGTCCTTCTTACATGAAAATCTGCCTTGGGGTCTTTGATGACCAAAAAGACATTTCTTGTTTCAGCACTAAAGGCTCAACTGAACCACCTCGGGCTGCAGAACCGGCTGACATTCGCTCTCTCATAAATTCCCGTGCTGGGTCCTCTTCGCTGTTACCCAATGAGAGAAAAGGTGAAGGGAACAAAGGTACATTTAAATTACTTTCCAAAAGCGGATTTTTTTTCTTTTCTTTTTTTACTGAAACAAGAAACTCTCAGATGCAAGTCAAAAAGCAGAAAATATTTTACAATATTAAAAAGTCATCTGTCGTTAGGTTCGGCACACAATGAGCTCCTGAGCACTGAGGGCTTATTGACAGCATGGGCTTCGTCTGCTGCAGGGGAGAGGGCATTAACAAACACGCGGTTAACTCGGTGCCAGGAGAAGCGCTAGCGTCTGCTCTTGTTTTAGTTACGATCAGTGCCAGTGTCTGTGTTACCTGTGAAGGCCTCCAGGGAAGGGTCACGGAAGTTCATTGGGAATGATCCTCTCGATTAAAAAAAAAAAAAAAAGTGAAAGAAAGGAACTCAGATCATTGTGGTTTAGAAATAGGTATTCGCGTGAAAAAGTTCTATGTCTCCTTCTTCCTCTCCTGTAAGTAGGGATCTGACGTGGTGTGTGTAACCCGCGGGCCTTATTGACAGAGGATTCGGGTGCCGGTCCGCCTTTACTGGGACGCCTGGGGCGGAGGGTTTTCTGATTTGGTCTCTTGAGTGCCGGGAGGCTTACTGTTCCACGGGCTGCTGTTTCCCAGGGCGGGTGAATTGTTGAAGTCTTCCTCGTCGTCCATGCCGTTGGCCGCATCATATTGCGTGTTTTCTAATCTAGTGATTAGCCTTTCGTCCTCGTCCCCAAACTCACCTCCCATCAGAGTTGGCTCTCCTACCACCATCACATCCTGTGAACAGCAGCTGACATTATTACAGGGAAACCTTGGGGGAGAGAAGCTCAGCTTAAAACACTAGTGGGAGGAGCTGGGGGACCTAGGACAGACACACTCGAGTGCTGTACACCGGGGTCAAGTCTCAGTGTCGGGGGGCCGAGATGCATATTTGATTTCTACAGGAAATAAAACATCGCCTCCTGGCGTGTAACAACCACGCGAGTTTATGTCCTTAGTGCGCAGCCTGACACCGGAGAACGAGCAATGCTAGCAATCTGCAGAAATAAAAAAATGGATTTTTCAAAATTAAAAAAATCCACGCTTTTAACTTGCTGACACTGGGGACTTCAGAGAGGGCGGTGGAACCTTCTGCGGGGTGCGTCTCAATACCTCCGAAAATCCACCACTTTCGTTTAGGGTCTTTGGAAACTAGCAGCGAACACCCGGAGGATGCGGTTCTGGAACATTCACGCCACCCATTCCAAATGGCATCTTCCCTGTCCCGAGGATGGTCTACATTGTAATTGATGACAGAATCTCTCTTTTTCTCTACTCAGTCAGCCCCTTTTATGCGGCCAATATCCTTGACATTCCGCTACTTAATTATGGTAATTAATTTAGGTAAAGTTTTCGATAAAAACAATGTTCACACTGATTTGACAATTTGCATAGCTAATTAAGCCATTAGCAAAAACCTGCTGATTGCCAACAAGCCCTGCATTTACCATCTGTTATTTCATGGTGGCAGTCACCTATCCCCACACAGGCAGCCCCGCCACCAATCCGGGCAGTAAAGAGAGCCGGTCTGTCCAGCTGGTGGCATAAAAGGAAGATGAAGAGCACTAATTATAATTACACTGATGAAGCCGGGAGTGATCAGAAATGGAAGCGTGCAAGAAGAATCCATCTAATCACGCCTTTAAGTACAAATTGTCCCTCCATGCTAACAAGGAAACCACCTACTGTCATGGGGACCACTGTGGAGGCCACTGCTGAGAGGCACGAAGATGGGGGAGAAGGACGCATGCACAGGGCACAGGTCCGGCCTCTGTTCACAGGGGACTCTACCGGGTTGGTGGGGGACCTGGGCAAGGGACAGGATACCTGTCAGGTGGAGACTGCTGGGCAAGCTCTGAGCAACGGTCCACTTATAAGTGCAGTGACTCCACAAGAGTACCTAGTGCCCCAAGCCACCACGAGACCAGCCAAGGCAGGCCTGGGCAGGAGGCCTTCTCCATGGAAGGGTGCATTCCCTGAGAGGGGCGGGCTAATCTGATGAAGCATCTTGATGACTAGGCAAAAAATTCTCTTCACTGGAGCAGGAGAAGGCTCTCCTGGGCAGCCTGTGCCTCTGCTCGGGCCAGGAAACAGTCCAGAAGGTGCTCCAGATCCCATCTAAAATTCCGAGGGTGCCAGCCAAACAAAGCCCTGCATTACTGCTTGAACTATTTGGGAATAGAAAACCTTGCCTGATTGATGGCTTGATTTCCCCAGAATTATGAGAAGATAATAGATAGGTTTGCAAACTACGTTTTTTGGCAAATCACTCTTGTGATCTGATAAAAAGGGATTTTAAAGAGCAATGTCCCAGATGAAGTAAATGCCTAAAATATGAACTGGGTACACGCAGCAATGGAGGTACTGGCAGGACAATCAGATATGTGCTTCCAAGAACATACATACTATGTGGCGAAGAGCCAGACATGATACTGACATGTTAGGAGACTCATGAGGAGCCTAAAGGCAAGACGCGAAAGTCACAGACTATGATTGGCCAGAAAGCTGACATGATTTTAGAGGTGCCAAGGTGATCTGGTTAGCCAGGGCGGTTGCCATAGGACCTACCAGGGGTGTTCAGGTTTAAAAAGTGCCACTTTGACACAGGCAATTAGGAGAAGGCGCTTATGATCAGGAAAAAGGTAGCTGGAAAGAATAGCGCAAGTTCAGCAGAGGATGACGTGAGGGGTGACTTCATGGGAATGGGACGCACGCTCTAATGGGCTTGGAAAATGCATGCGTAAGGTGCCACTGGGCCGGGGAAAGGTGTTAGAACCCACCCTGTGGGTGTGCTTTAGTACTGTGAGTCTGAGGTTATGGATACAGGCGGGGAGAGTGTGAGGAGAGAAGCATAACAGGAAAAAGAGGAGAAAAATGAGAAGCCAGCGTAAGCGTGATGTGAAGAGAAAAGTTCCCAACACTCCAGATGCCTTCATTATATCTGAAAATAACAGTCATTCAAGAAAAGTCCTCTGAAAATAGTGATTTGCATCACTTCAGATGGGGCTGATGTAGGCTTGTAATATGTTTGGTGGATCTTTCTTCTGAGAACAGCTGGAGAAGATGCCCAGGCACAGGTATTTTTAAGTGGTCTACATTCCAGAGAGATGCCGCATGCACCTTACTGATTGTAAGAAATGGCCTTGGCCAGACACACGATCGTGTGTGCACGTGTGTGTACGTGTGTGTGTGTAATGAACTGATGGAAAGCTACAAAGAGATGTGTGCTATGGACTTTATATGCACGGAGACCCTTGAGGCCACTTACTCAATCAGGCACATGTCTCCCCCTGGTTTTTCTGAACTTCTAGATTAAGGCCGTGGTTCCCTCTTTAAGCAGACCTGATCAGTTAACCTCGTGTGGAGTGAATGGAGACATAGTGCATGTTCTGGGTGGACTTGAACTAGGAGATATCGGCATCATTTTCCCCACCCCCCCACATCTTTAAACATCCCCCCGCCCCGACATTCAACACGAGTGCATTTCCTTCCCGGCTCTGCTATCTGTGTCTCCCCAGGAGGCAATACTGGTCCAGCTGAGAGCAACCCAGGTGCCCTCGGCTCCCCACAGAGCAGACCTCTGCTCCTCCCTGGTGGCTGGGACGTGCCACCAGCTTTTGCCCATGTCACAGCTTCTTGCCAATCAATCCCCCGTGCAAGGACCACCAACCTCTGAGGAGGACTGGAAGTGACTCCTTTCAGGGCCCCTCAATGCTTCTCCTTAAATTGGCCAGAAGGGGTCACTGCTGTTGAATGACACAGGTCTCCATCCCTCCCAGGGTTGAGGCTGCAGTTCGGGATGGCTCCTAGCCCCTGCTCATGGAGTGAGAAGCAGAATCCAAGGATTAAACCCTAGTCCTCGCCAGACACACCCACTGCTGCCCCGACAGCCACGTGGACCACGGCTGTGGTCGTGGTGGCATGCCGACTCTGTTCACGCCTTTGGACAGGGAGGCCATGTCTGCAGATGGCATTTCTAGGATATTTAAGCAGTAAAATTGTTGGTAATTCGGTGGACAGGGTTACAAGACGTGATCCCTACGAGCCAATGCTTATCGTTTAACACGCATTCAATGAGAATTTGCACATTTTCCTAACCTGGTTGCCTTCCCTCCCTCTTTTGACCATCTGTAAGTTTTACATAATTAAAACATCTTTAATTGCACAGTGTGGGGATAGTGTTGAATTTCTATCCTGGTTTCCAGTGGATGCCTTGTTCTCACAAAGTCCAAAGGGTCTCAAATCATTAAAAATTCTCTTGACACTGGTATCTTCCACTAAGATCCAGTTGTTGGATTGGAGGATGGGAGCATGATGGACCAGAATGAACTAGATGCTCTTTAAAACTGAATTAAAATGATTCTGACCAGGGCAGGTATATCAAAATACACATGTGCTGCTGTTCTGCACCCATGGCAGACATCACCAATGGATGGCTGACCAATCCCAGTCTAGGCCTCAGGATCTGTCTCAGTCTTGCACCCTGTGAGCTGACACCAGGGGACTGAGTGGGAAGGAGAGAGGGAGCCTCTTTCCTCTCCTTCGGTTAGATGCTGACCCAAAGGATCTATATATAAAAGATCCTTTCACATATAGGCCCTTGTGGGGCGCATAGTAGGAGCTCAGAAATCATTTGCGGAACTGATCTGAATTCTTGCAGCCACTGTGCCTTTAAGGGGCTATGTCACAGTGCCAGAATTCTCTGGAATGCACTTTTCTCATTTATTACAGGAACGACCAAATGTGAGTTTCTAAAACTCCAGGTTAAGACAAATGAATAAACATTGACTACTTATGTGGACTCTTTTGGGTTGATTTCTACCAGGCCATTTTTCTCTATGCATTTTCCAATTTTAACTGGAGCAAGAATAGCTTCTCAGTCCCTTAATAAAAAGACTCTGTTTTTCTCCTTTGATATTTTTTTCCCTGGACTCCTTAGGGGGGCTAGCCCAGTTCAGAATCCAGACGAGACTGGCATTCCTTAAGGACTATGATTCCTAGTGGTCTTAAAGTGAAATGGTAGTACCTGCCCCACAGGCTGGCCACTCTCGATGACCCTTTCTTTGTAATGAATGAAAACCACCCTCGGTCTGTGGAGGATGGCAGAGCCCCAGGGGCCCAGGTAATTCTTGGTACCAATGGGGTTGGTTTTAGTCAAAGAGACCTGGGTGAAAGAAGAGTGGATGAGGGACAGGTTTGAAGGACACAGTTAGAAGGGGAGAACAGCCATGAAAGAAAGGTCCATTCTCTCAGGGAAAGAGATGGAGCACACTCAGAATGTGGAGTAAGGACAACAGACCAGGTGGGAAAAAGAAGTGAGGAAGGGGCCCAGGTGAACTTGTACTGGGTGAGGGAAGTAGTGCGAAACAGGCACGTGTCTGAAGGCATGGTGTCTGGAGGGTGTCCATGAAGCACCAGGAATGTGGCAGGATTCAAAGGACAGTCACATACCTGCTGAAGGGTGACAGGACAAAGGCAGAGGACCACACATAATCGTGGTGCGGAGAAGGGACAGCAAATGCTTAAAGGAACATAAAAATTTAAAAGCGATAAATGATCTAACCCTAGGCTGAGGAATTTGGAAGAGATTAGGCAGAAGGGACAGAGCTGGAAAGGAAATTACAGGAAATGAAGAAAGTTCCTAGATAGCTTGCACTCTTTGGGAACGACCCTCAGCTGTCAGCTTTGGAGTTCAACAAAGCCCCTTCCAAGGGCCATGTCCCTTGTCAAGACCCAGAAATGAAAGACAGGGGTGTTGAGCTCAAGAGAGTGGAGACCAAATTAGGGGCTGATCCGCCACCACCATCCCGCACCCAGCCCCCACCTAGCCCCCACCTTGAGCTAGTGAAATGGGTACAGTGAAATCCACTAAGCTGCACTGTTGGTGGCCGCATTAATTACCAAGGTCTCAAAATGAGAGGGGACATCCAAGTCGGGACGCCCAGCCAAATGGCAGTAAAAAGCCTGAGCTCCAGGAGCTGGTTTCCAGCAGAGCACAGGGTCTCTGGTGATGGTGCCCGGAGCCCCTTTATATGCCACCAGGCACACTGCTCAGTGATATTTTAATTAAACCTGAAGTGACATATCTCCTGTCTGTGACTCTGGTGGCTTGTTAATTCAGGTCCCATTGTAGCACAGACCCCTCGTACTCCCAGTTCCAGTTTGCAGGGGAAAGTTTCCGGGTCAGAGTTCAGCCCAGCCTTTCCCTCCCCCACCCCCAGATGCCCAGAATGCATTTCAGCTAATAGACATTTGAATGTGGGCCCCTTGGAACTGGAAGACAGGCAAAGGAAGGATTTCAGGCCTAAAAGGAAAGCGAGACTTACAGGTACCTGACTGGACAGACTCAGGTTGGCCGCCGGCGTCTTCTTCTTGCTCCCAGTACTGTTGGCGGTGTTCCCGGCGCTGCTGTTGGACGTGCTGCTGGTGGAGTTTTTCCTTTTCCTCCGTTTTGTTGTCGGTTGCCTTGTGGGTTCTGCTGCAATACGGACAGAAAATGGAGGGAGGATCAGGTCCAGGGTGACCCCTAGACGCTGTCCTCCGCAGCTGTGTTTGTAAATGAAAAGGAGTAGACTCTTTACATCTTTTCTATTTTTTTTTCACTTTTCAAAACAAATGAAAGGAGACAGCTGTTGGCCGAGTTTTAGCATAAAATGTGCACAACTCTTTTCCTTTGCATCTAAAGAAAATGATTTGCATTGAATTGTTATTTCTAATTTCATATACATGGCTGTAATCTATTAATATATTTTAGTTAGGAGTGAGCTGCAAATGCCACTTTCATAGTTGAATTAAAAGGATTATTAGTATTACCAAATTTTGGAAAACATTTTTTTTCCTCTGGTTTATCTTTGCTTTGTAACCTTTAAAAGAAGAGTTCTGGGATCCCTAAGTGTGGGAGAAAGTAGAAATTTAGTGAGCCACTGTGTAACAGCAGCACCTACTGGTCAAGTGTTATATTGCAGCTCAGCACTATTTTACCTTGAAACACTCAAGTAAAAAGAAAAGTGCCAGGACTACCAGCTGTGAATGCGAAATTTAGGGAGTCCCAAGCTGTTCCCAAATTCCATGGTTAGACCGTGATATTACAAGAATACTATTAATTTCAAAATTCCTGAAAAAAAAGGACTTAGTATGTTACAACTAGCATATTAATAAAGGGAAGCAAGACCTTTTCAAGAAAGACCTATGTAGAAATAGAAATATTTTGCACCTGAAGGATGGGTAGCATCTTAATGAAAATACAGGGACTCATGGTAATTATGTATTGAGCAATGCTCAGTGTTTCCATGTTCTTATTTTCTGTTTTTAATGTTTTCTATGTCATAATTATTTTACGTTCATAGCAGCTCTTATTAATTAGAAAAGAGTATAACCTCTGCCTTGTAAATGAGAAGTCTTCAGAAGCCTTTTCCAGGCAGTTACTAAATAAGTTGAAAATGGCAGGTAAGACCATCCTTTTTGCTAACCCTACTGTAGAGTCAGCTCTGGTAGAGAGAAGATGGGCCAGGGCCGTAGGGAACCTGGGCGAGAGGGCCTTGTATCACTTTCGGATGGATGAAGGGGCAAGCATCCTTGTAGGCTCATGTCAAAGATCACTTACTCTACCAAGTTATTCTTCTACTTGATGAAGAAGAGAATTATGTTTCTAATTATATATCATTTCTTCGTTCAGAAATATTTTGTCTCATGTTGAAACAGTTTCATCAAAAGGCCCAGTATCCCTATTCATAGAGAATTATGGGTGTTTCTTTCTGAAAGTTACGGCAACAAAGGAATAGAGTTGCTCCAGCTCATGGGCTTAGAGAAGAGTCGAGTGGCACATTCCAAAGCCAAGCAAATCCCCAGGTCTCCTCTGACAAGCATCTTTTTTTCCTTGGACTTCAATCATTGAAATCTGATACTTTTCTTGATAGCTATACTTTCTTCATAAAATTTTGGGAAATACACCTAAATTGCATACTCTGGATTACATCCATTGAAAATAGGTAGCTATAGTAATCGAATCATGAACTGGGTAGACATAGAAGCTATTGTGACACAGGCCTCCTTCACTGATTAGTTATGAAACTGATATTGGCAAAGTTAATCATCAGGCCCCATGATACACAGTGGGAATAGCAACAAAGAGCTACTGAGATTTTATTGTGAGGATTCAGTAAGAGAATGGAGGGTCTGTGAGGGTTGGGGCTGTGACTTTTACTCCCTGTGGTTGGCTGGTGCAGTGCCTGGCACCTAGTAGGGGCTCAATAAATATTTGTTGAATAAGTGACTGATGAATGAATAATGTATGAGTTATATATGCAATTTTAGAAAATGTAGGTGCTTAAGACATTAAGTGTGTACAATTTTTTCCATAAAAGCTTACTGATATTAAAAGAGAAAATGAGGCCAACTTAACTCTATAATAATATATATTTTTAAATGTCCTAAATTTGTAATATTCTCCTAAGATGGGGATACAACTATTCTCTGAGAATAATGCTCATTTCCTCAGCTTTCTAAATATGTACATAATTATATCTGCTGTGTTCATTTCATATAAAACTGCTGGCCAATTACCAGTGGAAGGTAATCATTATATTTTGTGATTCAGAAAGCTATATGCCTTGTGTTAATAATTACTCTTTAAAGATAATTTTTAGTGAAGAGATACATTTTGCTTTTATAATCAGTGAATCTCAACACAAGCCTAGGAGTGAAAATGTATTAGAGAGAAAGACAATTAGTGATGACTAGAAGCAGTAATTTCAGAACCTCACAGGAGACTTTAGTATCTACACTACATTCTAGGGAAGTGGGGGAGTGGAATCTTTTATGTTTTCTCTTCATGATCAGAATACCCTTTGATATTCTATATCTTAAAACATAGATACAGAAGGTGTCCCTCCCTCCCTCCCTCCCTCCCTCCCTCCCTCCCTCCTTTTCTTCTTCTTTCCTCCCTCCCAACCTCCCTGCATTTTTAAAATTTCTATCATTTCATTTAAAAAGAAACAAAAGGACACTGGGCCATGAGAAGCCAGCAGTCTTGTCCAGTGGAACAATGATTGAACTGAGAGACAGGAAACCTGGGATCTGATTTCAGCCTTGCCCAAGATGTCCTCAGTAACATTAAAGCAATCACTTCACCTCTCTGGTTTCACGTTCTAACCTGGCACGTGAGGAGATGGTAGACGACTCCTAAGCATGTTTGCTCTTTGCAACTTCAGTGTCTCTAAGTCCAAAATCATGGCCAGAATCTCCCCAGTAAACTCCTTTTCCTGAGACATTTGGGATCACTCTCTTCCCTTTCATGTCACCTCACCCCAGAAGAAGCGTCAGAAGACGTGGTCAGAATGAGAGTGTAGGACAAGGTCGTACCTGGTGGGGCCACCATCCGCTGCCACTTCTGAAACAAGCAGGTCTTCAGGCAGTCTCGTGGACTGAGGTTGTAAGTTTTATGTCTTGACATCAGTTCCTGCATTGGCTCCAGTATTACACACAACTGCAAGAAGTTCAAAGGCGTGGGGGTTTCACTACTTGATAATATTATTTGCAATAAATAATGTGAACAGCTGGAATCAATTAGGAAGCTTAAGGGTATTTTTCTTTTTCTCCCCTGGTTTTATTTTTCTCTGTACAAGTTTAGAAAAGAAATATTACCAACATTTGACAAAACCCACTTAATGTGCTGTCATTTATAATACCACATTATAGCTGAATGCATTTCACACACACACACACACACACACACACACACACGCACAGTCTGTCCAGCCTGTTGGGTGGACATGTGCAGCTCTGTTCTGAAATCAAATGACTCTCTGGTTAAAGAAAAAAGCTCTCTGCAGCGCAACGCAGCATGCTCTGATTTCCACGCCGGGTTCTGCTGTTGTTCTGTTTGTAAAACCACCCACTGTGAGTTACAATGCTAGTTTATGTAGATTCTGAAGCACTGAAAGCCATCTTTGAAACCTGGGAGCACCAAGTGGTAACAACAGGTACTTTTTTGATCCTGACTCTTGCCGAATGCTTTAATCTCCTTCATACCCTCACTTGTATTTTACACATGATTATAATGCATATAACACGCTGGCGTTCAGTGTGAGAGCGTTCTCTGTGGTTCTGCACGTGGCCACCTGCCTCCCGCCTTTGGTTAGATTTTTTTCAGCTTTACTTTAGTCCAAAGTTCAGCTTTACTTTGATGACAAAGGTTAATGAATGGAACAAGAAGGCAAATCCATTCAAATTGCCGTGGGCTTTCTCAATTCCTCCCCAGTAGAAGCTCATCAGGATACTGCTGCACTGAGAGTATCTAAGAGGACAAAGACCACAACCTGGAAAGAGGCATCCATTGCAATCTGACACCAACACTGGCAATGCACCTTCCCAGGTGGAAGAATGTCATTTTGTGAAAGGCAGAGGTGCAATCTCCACCCTCATCAGCCCTTCTCTACCCCCTTCCCTTCTGCTGTTTTGCACCTTGAACACTATTTATTCTACAGGCCCCATTGCTTTTTGTCTGCTGGGTCCCCTCTTGCTGGCATTCATTCTTCCCCTCTTCCTGGCTTATGCCTGCTTAACCTTGAATGCAAAGTTGCTTCTTCTGTGACGCCTTCCTCCCTGTGCAGGCTGAGTTGGGTGCCTCTCTATAGTTCTCTCACAGCACCTGGCCCCTTCTGCTCTACAAACTTACACATTCATACTTTGTAATCATCTTCTTCCAGGTCTGTCAACATCTTCCACTTGACCTTGAAATCCTTGAATGCCAAGAGTGTACCTTTTATCTCTGTGTTCCTGGGTTTGGCTCGAATGAATGGATTCATTTAAGGAGTGATTCTTAGAAAGACTGGAGGATCTTCCTATGCCAATGTTCCTCAAAGTATGCTTCAAGGAACATTTCCATAAAAACGAAATGAGCTGGTTATTAAAATGCAGACTCCCAGGCTCTGCCCTTTCTGTTTCATGGGGTCTGGAGGTGGGACTTGCATTTTAAAAACCATATTCCCAACTAATTCTGACAAGCACTATTAATGCTTGAGGTCCACTGCCGTATACATGATAGGCTTTATAATAGATGAATACAACAGTAAGACATGCACAAATCCCATGGTTTTCAACACATATTTCATTCTATTCTAAGCCCCTCCCCTTTCCACACCTTTCTTCTTCTCTCAGCTCCACCTGTGATAATCAAGATCACCTTCACCTAGAAAAATCCCTCAGCCATTTTTACCTACTGATGACCTAACCTTTGCCAAAACCACTAACCCCATTTTAGGACCAGCTGTAATCTTCTTCCATTTGCAGTTTCTCTGGAAGAAGAGAGCAAGGTTTCCAAGCCCGACCAACCCCAGCCCAGCATGAGCCAAAGAGACAAAGTCACCCAACCCTCCTAGCGAAGCTGCATAGTTGTGAGCTCTGGAATAGTTAGGATACATCCCCTCACTCTTGTCTATCTCCTCGCTTACTGTGGACTCCTTTTTGAAGCTGCAATAGTTAATAAGGGAAAAGCTGTGAAAGAGGGTGGATTACTGTGCAATTACATCTGTGAAGATTCTGCGTGGTTTTCTCTATTAAGAATCCCTCTCCAGAATCAAAATGTGTGCAAGGTACAGGGCACCTGCAGCCCTCCCCAGCCACCGAGGCTGGGATCAGAGTGAAGGATTGCACAGCCACGTCTACAAACTGAGCTAGGAATGGGTTACCTGTCCAAGAAGAACAACTCCTGGATTCAGAGAGGGTCAGACAGCATTTGCATCTAAGCTAGAAGAGCAGGAAATTTTCAGAGAAATTCTAAGGACCAGGAAAACGTATTTTTAGAATGAAAATAAAGTTAAAAAGGTTTTCAAACCACTAGTCTCTTTCTTGAGAAATGAGCTTAGCATCAATATAAAGTGCATGCAGGAGTGGAACAAGTGCGGACTCAGAAGCTGAGTTTTTGTCATTGTCATTAGGTGTGTGTCATCATGTAAGCCACTCATTCATGCCAGGGGTCAGTTCGTTAGCAGAACAACACCCATTTTGATATTGTTGTGAGAATTTGGGATAATGTATCTAACCACTGGTAGACGTTATGATTATGTATTCGCAGGCACAGTGCTGATTGCGAAAGAAACCACATTTTTATTACTTTTGATCAAAAGCATTCACCAAACTTCCTCCCAGCTGTTAGGCCCTCCGTGAGGGACTGGAGGCACAATGCTGAGACTAAGAATCTGTGTCTCAAAAAGTGTTCCGCTCCCTTCAAAATGACCTAAGCACACTAAGAAAACTACCTTGTGTTTACCCTTCACCCATCTCAGGAAATCACACATTTCTGAAGCAAATGTTCATTATATTACAAGTTACATGGCGAAAATGACCCATTTGTACGGAAGGGCACTGAACACACTAGGAAATGGGAGAGTCACATTTATTGTGAGAACCCACGAGCTCATTATCTTGCTTTTTCCCATTGCCTTTCCTCTCTGGGTTTTGGGCAACCCTTTTCAGGTGCTAATCCCCAGGATTTCTCTATTCTCCTTTAATGTAAAAATATCTCCCCAGTTCTGTAACCTAGCCCAGAGGAATTTACATCTCTGAATACTAATCAGGAGTCCCAGTTGTCTTCTTCCAGTGGAGGGCTCTGGGCTGGGAAGGCAGCGCTCCCCGGACTCACTCATGCAAACACACTTCAGCTTTCTGCTGTGGAGCCTGGTGGCTTTGCTGGGCTGCGTGCTGTAGGTGGCAGAACTTGCTCAGACAAGAGCCTGCCTCCTTGGTAACCAAGCCAGAGCACCTGGCAACAGCCCAGGTCCAGGTATTACAAAGCGAGATTAGGAAGGAGGCTTGTGGAGTGAGTGGGTTCCCCCAGTTTCCAGCCAAGTCCTTCTGGAGCCAGGATTTATGGTCTCCCAGAGGTCTCAGCCCCGCTTGAGAATCTCGTGAAGGCTCTGCAGCCTGTCTTTCCAGTTTTGTACAAATCTGGAGGTTTATAAATCCTTTTATAGCTCCATGCATAGACGTATGCAGGTAGAGAGCCCCTGGTTAGTCATAAGCATGAACCAGCCTACAATATACATGCCTTTTCCCCAAGACACACATATCCACACATCACTCAAACACATATAAATGGAACTAAACATAAAAACATAGCATCCTTTGATTTTGAAGAACAATTTTATCTGCAAAGATCCCATGGACCAGTCCCTTTTCCTGAAAAGAAAGTCCACAGACTAAGTCAGCAGCATCCACAGCAGCCTCTGTGCAGGGCTGCGGTTCACTTTGGTCTCTTCCTGGGGTGGGTGGAGGACAAGAGCAGGAATCCCAGGGTGGTAGGAGCCAGCAAGCCCTGACCTCTTTGATATGAAGCCCCTAGATGTAGAGTCCCTGCCAGGTCTAGTCAGGAACCCCGAAAGCCATCACCCATCCTAGCAAATTTCCCACAGTGCCTTTTTTGCAGACTTTGTGAGAGTTTTAGGCTGGGCTTGCTCCCCCTGTGCTTCTCATTTCTTCTCTCTAAAATTCTGGCTTCAGCATTTACTCTTTGGGTGTGGAGCCAAAATCAGTACCTACAACAGTGACTTGCTGAATGCGGTGGATGGATGGATGGATAATAGATATCTTGGCCAGATTAATAGCAAGGCGTCATTTGCTAATGGCAGACAAATTAGGCATTGTTCTGTGGGTTTAGAGGTAATGAATTTGTCCATTTGATAAATAATTGATTGCCTCCTCTGTGCAGAATGCTTTGCACAAATGCACATGTATGTACCCAATTACTACATGTCCTGTGTAGGCTGGGAGATCTTACCTCAGTCCCAGGATGCCCGCCTTTTCATAGAAACAAAGGGCTTAGCAAATGCAGACAGTTTTGCTTTGCTTTGCTTTTATCCGACAGTTCTCCTGGAGAAACTGGACTCTCCTTAGCTGTATACTCACACTCATTCTTCTTGCTCACCTCCTTGCCTGAGCCCAAGACTAGGTGGTGCCTGTTGGAGTTTGCTCTTGCCTAAAAAGCAATACTCTGGGCTTGGCCTTTGGCTAAATCCCAAACCTAGGACTAGTCTACCACCAAAATTTTAATTCCACCTTTTTAGAATGATGGATTACATCCCCTGAGCTTGAAGCACCTATTCTTTGTCCATAGGCTTGCCCAGGGTTTCCACATCAATACCAGCTTGACCCTTTGCTCGTGTTGTTCTTCTTGCCTAGAAGACTTTCCTCCCTCCTTCCCAGTCGCCTTAACCAAGGGGTGGCAAGGAATGGGCTGTGAGCTAAGTGTGGCCATGTTTATGTATTGTCAAAGCCGCGTTTTTGTTATAATGCCTGGGTTAAATACTTGCTAGACTCTACATGTCCCAGAAACCCCAAAACATTTACTATCTGGTCATTCAAAGAAAGGTCACTGCCCTCTGGTTCAAAGGCAATACTGCTCTTAGAAGGTGTCTGCAAACTGGCAGGAAAAGGAGAGTGAGGCAGAATGCAAGCCAGTTCACGGCCTCCTTCACTGAGAAACTGTTG